CTCCTCTTCTTTTTTTTTAAATTCTTGTTCTTTTCTTTGAACTCTTTATCTAAATAATTATATTCCTCAAATCAATTTTTTTCATGTCACTATTTTTATTCAAAAACAAGATGAAAAGAGGAACAAAAAGACTGCAAATTTGTATAAAATTACGTTTTTAAGCAGAAACTTTAAATCTTTAAAATTACAGAAGTAAGAGTTCATCATTGATGGTCATTATAAAGCTTTAAATTTTGAATTCATTATTTGAATTTTATTCCTATAAATGATTAAAAATGTCGTTTGGAGTTTACATCTCAATTTTAAGAGGGTTTGGTTAAGTTTGAAATTGATTTTAGGAGAAATATTAGATTGAAATGAATTAAATATAACATTGAAATGGTCTTGCAACTGTATTAAAGTTGAATTAGATAATGCAAATTTAATTCATTTTGAAGTTTTTTGATTGATTTATCACTATTAAATACTTGTTTAATCCATTATTAATATAACTTATCAATTTATTGATCATTGTCATATCTTTTGTTAGTTACGTTTTCCATTCATTCTTAATTCTCTTTTCTAATTCAACTTTAAATACCGTGTAATACTATTTTAATGCAAACTTAATTCATTTCACGACCTTTTGATTTATTTGTTACTATTGGATACTTGTTTAATTCATTATTGATACAAGTTTAATTCACTCTACAAATCATTGTCTTGTCAGTCATAGTTACGTTTTCCATTCATTCTTAATCCTCTCTTCTTATTCAAATTTAATATTGTTTAATACAATTTTAATTCATTTTGGAGTTTTTTATTCATTTATTTGTTCCTATTGGATACTTGTTTAATTCATTATAAATATAAGTTTATTTCACTCTATGAATCATTATCTAATATTTTATTTATTACGTTTTTGTATTCATGCTTAATTCTCTCTTCTACCTTAACTTTAATACTTGTGTAATACACTTTTGTATTTTTAATTCACTTTGCGATTAATCAATTGTTTGTTACGATTATTGATACAAGTTTTATTCAGTTTACATGCAGATCAAATAATGCTCTTTTGTTTTTTACATTCTGCATTCAAATTTAATTCTCTTCTAATAGTTCAACTTTAATTTGTCTGGAATACATTTTTAATTCAAGTTTGATTCATTTTGCAGTTTCTTATGCCATTTCATTTGTTACAATTATATTACTTCTCTTCTAATAATTCAACTTTAATATGTTTGTGATACATTTTAATTAAAGTTTAATTCATTTTACAGTTGTTATGCCTCTTCATTTGTTATGGTTATATTAATTGTCTAATTATCTATTGATACAAGTTTTATTCAATCTAGAATTATTGACTATTCTAAATAAAAAGGGAAAAAAGCAATAGCAGTAGAGTGAGAAAGAGCAAAAAAAAAAGCAAGAAAGAAGGACAAAAGAAAGAAAAAAAGAAAAAAGGAGAGAAAGAAAGAAAGAAACAAGAAAGGAAAAAAAGAAAGTGAGACACAGTAAGGGAGAAAGAAAGAAAAATTGAGATAGAGAAAGAAAGAAAGAGCGACATAGAAAATGAAAAAATTAAAAAAGTTGCTATAAATGGTAATAATTAAAGAGTATATTTAAAATAAGTAATTATTTTTTAAAAGGAATCCATTCACGTAATTTATCCTTTTAAAAAATTATATTTTTTTATAATTATTAAATTAAATCATAAATTACAATTTAAAAATATTATCATAAATATCGACAAAATAAAATTACATTATGTTAGACCTCATTTGTTTGCACTTAATGGGTTTGAATTTTAATCATTCAGATTTGCCTCATTAAATGTATTTGTTTTTAAGAACTGGATCTTAATTATTTAGATTCAGTTCATTAAGTTCGTTTATTTTATTTTCTTATAAGCTTCTTAATGGGTCTGAACATATCTGAATGAATCAGATCTGTAAGACACCCTTAACACTATTCAGACTAAAAAATAAGACTCCTATCTTAATTCAACTAGATCACAACAACTCATAAAAGTTGTTTTCTTATTTAATTACATGCTTGTCATTATAATTTCCTTTATTCATATTAACTTACTATATATCTTTTAATTTCATAAATTAATCAATATATTTGAATTGATAAGAACTCCATGATATAATATTTAGCATGAGTTTAAAAAATAAGAAAGTATTAGTTATTTGATCGTTAACAATAATAAATTTCTATGATAAAATAAAATAAAATATTTTCCTAAACTATATATTTACTACTCTATATAAACTATTTTAAATTGCATTATATTAGATTCTCAAAGTATTTTGAGTGCAAAAAAATAGTCATATTAATGATGTAACTTGATGTTGAGTTCTTAAAAGATAAATTATATTACCTTGTTACGGTAAAAAATGTTCAAAATATTATTTTATATGAAAAAAACTATTTTACTAACAAGGTTTTGATAATATTTTATTGATATAACGTTTAATTTCATATGTGAATTCAAATATCGAAAACAAACTGTCCCTATAATTTAGCGTTCAGATTCAGAGACAATATTTTAATATTCAATGTTTATTCAGATTTACATATCTTAATATTTAAATGCGTATTCAAATTCAGACGTCTTAATCTTAATGAAAACAAATGAGACCTTAATGTCACTACTTGTTAATCAAATTCACAAATAAAATTATCTTTATAATATTTAGGGAAAATGCATAATTACTCCCAAGACTATGATCGAAATCCGAAAGACACACCTTACTAAGGTCGTATTACCCCCTGAACTTTTTTTAAAATTTTTTTGTGTACCTCTTTGACTTACGTGGCATCCAAATATCTCTGACGCGCCTCAATTGCGTGGAGTCACATAGAGTGTCATATAAGACAAAAGGCGTATAAAATTACAAAGAAAAAAAAAGTTCAGGGGGTAATAGAACCTTAGTTTAGTTAAGGTGTGTGTCTGAGATTTTGATCATAATCTAGGGGGTACTTGTGCATTTTCCTTGATACTTATTAATTTCTTTTTCAACTAAAAGTATAAATATCTAAATAGAAATATTAACCTAATTGTTTTGATTTTGGACTCTCTATATTTTTAAATTTTAATATTATATTAGATTTTTAATTAATTTTTATTGGCCCACGGGCCGGCCCTACCGATATTTCTCAAGCCCCAAAATGAGCAGGTTTATCAGGCCGGGCTAAAAGCCCTTTTCCTAAATGGGCTACAAAAATCTTAGCCCAGCCCTATTGAATTTTGGGTTAGGTCAGGCCGGCCCAACGGGCCTAGCCCATATTGACGGCTCTAGTTATGAAAGTTGATCATAGGGTGAAGGATTACCTTGAAGATGCTGGTTATGAGAAGCGGTCAAGAGTTCATTCAACCATAAAAAGAGGTAGAATGATGACTTCGAACATCGCTGAGTGTATCAATGGATGCCTTGTCGATGCACGTAAGTTAACTATAATAGACTTCTTGGAGGAAGCTATACTTCTATTTGGTAGTTGGAACTATAAAAATAGAGAAATAGCGTCATATACAAAGGACACATTTGGCCGAAGATTTAAGGAGATATTAATTGTAAACGCATCTAAAAGTTCAAAGATGAAGGTATTTATCCATTTCCCTAAATTTCTATTTTATGTATCAGAAACAAATTGATTTTCAATGGTAACTGTTGTAATGAAAATGCTATATAAATTGTATATTACGTAATGTATCACTAACTTCTTAAATTTTTAGGTTTTATCTGAATATATTTTCATAGTTCATGAAGCCGGAAAAAGATACATTGTATACCTTGAGAGGAAAACTTGCACATGTGGAAGGTTTCAACATGATGAGATACCTTGCGCACACACAATTGCAGTTTTGAAGCACAAGAATGTTACAAATTTGCACTCATACTGCTCTGATTACTACAAGCCGTATAGATTAGAAAAAAACGTACGAGGTTGTAATGGTTCCAATGCCAGATAAGGAGGATTGGAACGTTCCAGAATATGTTTTAGATGAAATTATCCGGCCACCTAGGTATAGAAGGTTGGCTGGACGACCAAGAAAGCGAAGAAAGAAAAATGCGGATGAGAAAATTACAGTGAACAATAATTCTTGTGGGCAGTGTGGACAAGAAGGACATAACAGGAGAACTTGTACTTTCTTCACGAAAGAGAAATGAAATAATCTTTTAAAGTAGAACATTAGTGTTCATGGTACTTATATCTATTTTTTTCTTTAGAATTTGGACTAAATAAAGTGTATTGGTTACACAACTTAATTTGATGTTCAAATATATGACTTTGCTGGAAATTTTGTGCCAAAATTAAACTCCAAATTTTATAAATAAATAGAATCAACAGTGGTGTGTTTCAATGTAACAGTAATTATAGATGAGTTTGTTTGTGTATGTGATGTATCATATACATGCATATTATTGAAAAGATGTTATATGTTTCGTGTATACTGCCTTATGAGTTATTCAAGTGTATAAAAAATTGACTTGTTCAATTGTTTGCTATATGTTTCGTGTATACAGCCTTATGAGTTATAATTTTGATATATTATATTCAACAATGTTGGGTTTCAATGTAACAGTAATTCCAGATGAGTTTGTTTATGTATATTATGTATCATATACGTTCAGATGATTGAAATGATGTTATATGTTTCGTATATACTACCTTATGAATTATTCAAGAGTCCCAAAGAGTCCCAAAACTTGACTTGTTCAAATGTTTACTACATGTTTCGTGTATACTGCCTTATGAACTATAATTTTGATATATTATATTCAACAGTGGTGCTTTTCACTGTAATAGTAATATGTGATTAGTTTGTTTATGTATATGATGTATCATATACATTCATATCATTCAAGTTGCTAATATATAATTGCAATATTTGTATATGTATATAGTATAACTTATGTATCATAAACATCATTTTGTAAGTGAAAATACTTAAAACTTAAACAATAATGTATCATACACATTAGAACTTAAGCGTCATATGCTTCATTTTGTAAATTAACTATCAAAATACTTAAACTGAAACAATAAAAAATTTGTACCTTAACGTTATAAACAACAATTGTGTCTAAAACAATAACTTGAAAACACATAATGTTAATAACTAACAAACTATTGTAATACCAATAAACTTTTAGAAAAACACAAAAGATAATTGTCTTCGACACAAAACAACATAAAAACTTGTTCATCCTGTCCCTGCTAATTACTAATTTATGTTAACAATATCACCTTCAGTTGGTGTTGTGAATTGACCCTTAGGCTTTGGTGGATCGTCATTCTCACTTATGTATCCACCATTGACCTTGTCGCTGCCGTATCTCCATAACAATGCTGCATATCTATTGCATAGGTAATTTGCAAGATAGCCATCAGTATCAGGTGGTATAACAAGTTGGTCAGTCAAAAACTTTGCAAATGTAGCTACATATAAGCCGCAGTCCCTACAACAAAATACATAATATAAATTTGTAAAATAGCTTACACATATATTGTATACAAGAATTGAAATACTTACAGGCTATCGTCTTCTTGTTGCATGATACCTTCAACGTATTCGATGTTGAAAGGAATATGTGACTCTAAAGGTACACCCATTTGTTTGTCCTTGTATGCATCAAGAACTAACCAGTTTGTCCGCTCAGTGTTTTCAAAGAAACCACTGTCAATGAGGTAAGAAGGTAGCATCCTTGACAATTTTTTTATCTCCTCAGAATATACACGTTTTCTTGTGCCCAAAGAAGAGTCATACACGCGTATCAACCTCTTATTCAATTCAACAACAACTAACACCCAATGAAAATTTCCATCATAATTAATAGGAATATAAACATCATCCACCAAATGCCATGGTAATCCAGCTAGTATTGAAAAACCTTTCATGATGTTGATTATTGACCTCTCATGTACTGATACAACTCTTGCACGATCAAGGTGTTCTTGGGTACTAATATCATCATCAGTCTCATTGTTATAATACCTATCATGGGTACTGTTGATATGTGCGCTGAACAAACAATTGACTGTTGTGTATCTGTATATCCATGCTTCGAAGTTTTGATTTTTTACGAAGGTAGTAAAAATAACATCAATGTGCTACAAAAAAATATAAAAATAATTATACATTTGAAAAACATTTAACAAAAATAAAATACTAGACACTGAAAGTGATATATGATTTTGATATGTATATATAACATATTTACTCAATGTATCATATTCATTATTATAAAAACATTTATATACAGAATTACCTGATCAGTCCAACAGTTTTTAGGCTGAGACATGGCATAAAACCAATTCTTATTTGTCGAAAATGCAACGACATAATCCATCATTTCAAAACCCAATGAAGATGCTCTTGATTTGTATTATCTTCTGATGGTTTCCTATAACATTAAGCGTAATGAAAAGACGTTATTCAAAATTCTAACAATAGCTGCAATTTGAAAATTGAACAGATTCAGGTTAATTATATAAAACTTACTTTTTTGAATGAGCTTTAAGAAGCCCTGTAGTAACCCACTCAATAAACTCATCAATCAGATATGAAGGGGCTTGGTTTGTGATCTCACATCCTTGAAATGGAAAATTTGGATGAATTACATCAGTCATGACCACTTTTCCTTTTTCACTTGACCCAAATGAAGTTAAATAAGGGGATTTGCAGTTTCTCGAAGGCATCCGGATACGTGCATGAGGAGTATTTATTTCGCTTTGAACAACAATATCTGTGATAGGAATATCAATTGGTAATTGACAGTCCGAAAGCAAACTTTGATTTTCGGTTAACTCCTGTTGAATTGCATGAATAGGCAGAGTTCCTAGATCAACAATAAATGTATTCATGGCTTCTCGTGTATCTGGAGATATTGAACCAGATGGTGTAGATTCCTATATGGTTTACACTGATAATTAAAACTAGTTTGATAGACATATGTATTGTTATGATACATGAAGAATAAATTACCCATGTGTCTTCGTTCATTGTTCCTTCAAATAAATGATGATGCGTTTGTGCTGATGAAGCATCCTGAATAAAAAATGTACTGATCAATTTATGATACCTTAAACAACAAATAATTATACACAAAATGATTGTTAATGTATCAAGGACAGATAACAGTTAACTACAAATTGTATATATGAGACAAACAAATTTATGTAGTCACATAGATATGTATCTTGCAATGGATTGTATAACGTACACACTAAATAAAAAAGTACAGTAATACACATTAACTTGACAAAAAATACATATGTGAACAGTAAAAAACATGAATCATATTAATCCGATTAAACTGCAATGTATCACAATGATCAAATAAAACAACAATGTATCATAATAATATAATTAAAATTAAAAGTATCATACTGACACATTTTCATGTATCACTGAAAATTGGATGAATACTAATAATGAAATTAATCTGCTATAATTACCTTACTGTGTTCACACGTTTCATCAGTATGATGACTATTTAAATTTGGGGATTGAAGTTCTGAAACGTCCTTCATTACTTGATGATTCTTCAATGTATCTTCAGTCTTTATTTTTTTAAGAAAAATAAGTTAATGATAAATTATATAATTTTATATACAAAATTAATAAAGTAAATTAAACCTGATTGTCAACATCAAATTCCATTTGTATCGGAGAGGTTGCTTGGTGTCCATCATTGTCTTCTTTATTGGAAACTTCAACCATGTGCGGTGTAGACTTGCCGCCCATATCCTTTATTAAATGAATTTGTAACATAATGACCTATGAAAATTATAACACACAACGAAAATACACATACACAATACATTACGTTTGGTTGTTGGCCATCCTCCCTACTCTTAGAATTCATCACCTCAATGTGATTTGCCTTTATCAAATTCACAAGATACTCAAATTTACTGTCAACCTATTCAAAAAAAATTATACATTCAGTTTTATATTTATGAATTAACATTAAAAAAATAAATATCGTTACTTACGTATTCCTTCATATGTTGTTTCAGTTCTTCAATATCAGGATATACAGACTTATCTTTTGGGACTTGTGAAGATACATGGGCAGAAGATACATTAGCATGCGGGTTAGGTTCTTCAGCTGGCATTGAGAATGACTGATTTAATTGTGGCTTTAACTGCTTTGACAAAGTTTTCGAACCCTTTGTTTTATGTGTATTAGTATTCTTTCTCCTCTTGGGTGGTGGTAGAGATGATGCATCATATACATGTGATGATCTTCAATAAATGACCAGGAGGGCTTGTTGAAAAATCCCCAAAACCTGACTTATCTTTAGTTTGCACTTTTTTTGCACCAACAGTTGGCGTGGATAGTTCATTTCTGTTGACCTCTTGACTATTAGGTAAATCAAGGCTTCCACCTCATCTGGCGTTGGTACAATGTTTAAATTAATATTCTGCAATTAAAATGGTTTAATGTTATAACAATATATGTATAACAAAAAAACTGTTATTTACAACAAAAATTATAAGGCTTATTGATCCACTATTAAAAGATAATTTAAAATTAATGTTACTTCGAAGAAAATGCTAGACATTAACTTTTCATATTTTGGCTTTTCAGCCACCACAGTCCAATTACATATCCTCGGAATACCATTCACTACTTTAACAGCAAGGTCTGGACTTAGAGTAGATGCACATTCGTAAATCCAAACGTTGAATGCATAAGGCATACCAAATAAGCGATACATCTGTTTGCTTTGGTTGAAGTCTTGCCTGAGTGATGTAATCAACTTATTAAATTCAATCTGACCCCAAGGATACATTTCATACCTACCATCTTCGACCATTAGAAATTCTTCTATACGTATAAAGGTCTCACCAAGATGGCATAACATGAAAGTATTGATGAAGTATAGTATTGCCATTTCCACAGATTCCTGTGTGGTCTCCCAATTACCCATTGCAAAGCGCTGTATCAATCGACTCTTGGTTATACCCGTTAAGACAATTAGAGAAATATTTTTGTAATAATCGGCTCGGAGTGGAATTAGGATATGATAAATCCTTAACATTTCCTTTGCATTTAAGGCCAGTTACAATGACAAATTCCTTCATACCAAACACCAATACATTCCCATTAGCATGACGGACATGTAGTACATCTTTATTTTCATGTCGCACCTCCAACAACATCAAACACTTAGTAATCTGAACCTGGAAATTACATTTTGGAATTTCCAAATATGGTCCAAAAATTGTTTTCTTGAAAATTGCAACGCCTTCATCCTTTATTGACAATTTGATTTTATTCACAAAATCAAAAGTCGCTCCAAACCTCAATGGATGTGCTGGTATTTTTTTAATAACATAATTCATGCCCTGTTTATACACTCCTTTAATTACCTTAATAATCATTTATCCCTACTTATTATAAAAATTTCAAAAATCCCTTATTTCCCCAATTAAAAAAATATGAAAGATACATATAGATTTCACACCCCTTTTTCAACCAATTGACAAGTTTTATTTTACCAAAATAAAATCCTATTTTCAAGCTACCCACTTCCCCATTAACAGCCCCAATTAAAAGTTACCATATTAAAATTTATTCCTTTTTTATTTCCCCACGTTTTAGGAGGATAATTTTCTCTCACCACACGTCTTAAGGGCAAATTTTACTCTAAATTTGAATTCCAGTAGAATTTTGCAGCCATATCAATTTGGTTTTCTGTAGGAGTCTCCATCAAGTATTTAAATTTCCAAGTTTCTAAAGGGTAAAAATTTTAGTCTCCTTTTTTTGTCTTCATCGTGTGCTTTTACAAATAATATGGAAGAGGGTAAATCTGGAAATGGTGATTCTAAACGTGTGTATGATTCAAATAATGAAATGTGGGCTGAGAACAGATCTAAGAGATTGCATAACCCATTATCGATGAAGAACAAGAATGTAGTTGAGCCAAAGAAAAAGAATGAAGAAATCCATAAAAAAGGCCAAGAAAAGTTACACATGTTGTTTCCAGACCCACACTTCCTAAGGTATGTGTTTAAAATTCATAATTTTGTGTTTTGTTGATAAAACCCTAATTTTAAATTGTTGCATGTGTTTGTAAAATGAAATTAAAAGTCATTTAACAATGAAGCGTGATTCACTAACTTCAAATTAAGTATAACGATCATGTTTGTACAGTTTTAAGGTGTATCAGATGCATAATGTTTATCACTAATTTTGAGTTGTGTATTAGTGAAAGCACCATGTTT